GCCTGCCATGTTTGTTCATGTGACCATGGTGTCACTGCATCACACACCCATGTGCCCAAGGTGTTAACTGCAATATGAGGTGAAGGTGCTGTTGATGCACTTTTAACTAAGTCATAGTGCCCTGAGTTCCTGATTTACTATAAACAGGAAGTTAAACTGTAACCAACCAAAGATAAAAGTTTTCTCCTCTCAAAGCTGAGTTTTGAAGAGCTCCAGTGTGTAAGATGTTCCAGTGAAGGGAGAAACTGGGTTTCAGTGACTTCATCCATGCACTTTCCACAACTCTGGTGCTGTATTCAAAATTTCCTTTTTTTTTAAAGGACTAGTCTAGCCACTTGTAAAAGGAGCTGAATTCATAAAGAAAGACAGCTGTCCGCCTTCCTCATTCAGTGACTAGTTCTTTGTTACAAGACTCAGGAACTGATGTATTAAAACCGCTATTCAGGGGTGTTACCCAGACTTAACACACAGGTGCAATATGAGGCAGAGGAGACACATGCGAGGCACCTTCTTGCTGTCAGAGCGATGGCTGCAGAGAGCACAGAGGGAAGAACTGTCAGAAAACCACACAGGGTTACTTGTGATGCCCAGAAGAGCCAGGAACTACCTGTCTTACAGGTATATTCTGCAGCACTGGCAGCTGTTGTGTCTCAGATGACACATGCTAAAAGCCATCCCAGGACCAGAAGAGGGGAGTACAACACAAAACCATGCACTATCCACAGGTGGCAGCAGTACAAGACAAAAAGTCATTGGACATCTTCATCCAAATGTATTTATTAATAAGGTAACGTGAACATATTCCAAGTTATTACAAGCCTTTCCTAATCCTTCCATTACCATCTCACATTCGACTGACATGGCAGACTTCTGCAGTAAATGTCAGTGTTTAGGTGCAGATTTAAAACAAAAGCTTAGAGAATAATTAGCAACAGGAAGTATAACAGTATCAACACTACAGTAACAGCAGCATGACATCTGCTAAAGGCTTTAGGGTCACTCCCAATCAGGCTGCTCTGGTCTCCAGCTGCAGCAAGTAACAGATACAAATAATGCAGCTCACATACTTCAGTGACAAAGCACCAAGCACAGAAGCCTTTAAGATTTCGTAACTGCACAGGAACTATACAGTATTTCAATCAAGGAAATTAATGCCTTACCTCATGCCTAGATTTAGACTTTCTAGGCTCCAGTCCATCTCTGGCAATGGACAACAAGCAAAATACTGAATACATTAAAAGATTTCAAAACTTAGAGCCCCAAATATATGAAGAAGCACCTTTGTTGAAGCCTCAGTTAATGCAAGCTTCCTTTAGTTACTCCAATTTCAGTGCTCTTTTCCCCCCACTTCTTTTTTAATGACAATACTCAAAAAATTCCTCTAAAGGGGTTACACAGTTTTCACCACTCAGCTCCTTGCAAACTCTTGTGATTGTAGCTTAGCCAAGAAAGAAAGTGGCACACAAAACAGCAATAAATTACAGCACAGCTATCCCATCCAAACTACTTTTTAAAAAAAATTAGCAATACATAGATGCACATTGTAAACAGGTGCCTTAAAAACATGCTTCTGAGCATCTAATAGCAGGATGTTTTACCCCAGAGTGTCTGTCCTCCTGTCTGCAATGGGACACATCCGACCCAACAGCACCAGGGAGGACATCAGCTCCTCTGCAGCTTCAGGCACAAGCTGCCCCGTTAATGTCTGTGCTGAAGGTATCACTGCCCCCATACAGGGAAAGGTTGGGCATTTAGTGACAAAACACTGTGAGATGCCAGCGTGCTGCAACACGCACAATTCTGAGTCTGACAACACTTACTCGGCCTTACTTTGGAATCAAGGCAACAGGGATCAAAGGCAGTCCCTCCTTTGCTTGCAAAGCCTGATCTAATACTGTTTCTTTACCCTAATTAATGCTTGCACTTTTTTTTTTTCCCCCCTACGACTATTTAACACAACTGAGGGGGGAAAGAAACCTACTTCCAAAAAGTCTCCATCTTATATCTAATGCTCCTGAAGCACTCAATCTAGGAGTAGTCCTATGAAAATCATCATTACAGCAACTGTCACTTAAGCTCAGCTAGAAAAAGTCATTTAGTGAAATGACAAGAGACATGATTCAAGGTAATCGTGCAGAATAAAGCAGGGTATACTACACGGATAGCACGTGCACACACACGTATTTACAACTGCGCTATTCTCCGGAATACATGTTTCAAAGACATGGTGAAGCTAACACAGTCTCCCTAGAGAGCGGCGCGGCTTAGTCAAAGTCACGGTTTGTAAGAACCAGCGGAGCAACCAGAGTCCACACATACAGCACGATGCCAATCCAGCTGGAAGATATCTTCACCCAGACAGACGGCCATTTGCTGGTCATTGTCTCATAAGAAGAATCCGGACTGTGAAAGAAGGAAAAGAAATAAGATTGCTTTCAGTTTTTGTTTCAGTATGACATACTTGTGTGGTAAGCCACTCCAACCCTTTTTTTTTTTTACCCCACAGTAGATCATTTTCACTTCAGCTCCACACCTCAAAGGACTCCTTTACCCTTCTTCTTCCTGGCAGTTCACACCAATCTGTACAAAACCACCATTTTTATGTTGGTGTCACAAGAAGGTGGAAAGCAACAGCAGCCCAAAAATACTTAGTAAGAGAAGCTGTCAAGAAGCAGAAGTAATTACAAGGAATCCATAAAGCAAATCTGTGGAAAGGCAGGAAATGGATGGCATTTACAGATACAAGTAACACATCCTACCTTGCCAAAAGACAACACCTAGAAGAATTGTAATCTTGATGTCATATTGACTCAAGCAGGGCCACAAATCAAATCCACAGCAGAAGTATTTAAGAGTTATTTTCGAAGAAAACATTTTTCTAGTTTTGCTATTTTGATACAAACTGTCCTTTAATATTAGGGGCCATATTTTTTTTTTTAATTCTGAAGAACATCTGCTCAGGCTATTAACATAATATTAGCAAATGTACATGGTAGAAAGACTATCTGCGTTAACAATTCATGCATAAAAGGACTATTTTATTGTGAGAACTTTTTCAGGGAGCAGACAACCTTCCTTCCTTCTGCTACAGACCCTGTCACAGAATATCTGAGTTTGGAAGGGACCTCTGCAGGTTGTCTTGTCCAATCCCCTGCTCAAGCAGGGACACCTAGACCCAGCTAAACAGCCAGAGGTTTCTGAATATCTCCAGCGACAGAGACTCCACAACCTCCCTGAGCAACCTGTGCCAGTGCTTGGTTGCTCTTACAGTGATAAAGTGTTTCTTGATGTTCAGTGGGAACCTCCTGGGTTTCAGTTTGTGCCCATCGCTTCTGGTCCTGCCACTGGGCACCACTGAAAAAAGCCTGGCTCTGTCCTCTTTTTACTGTCCCTTCAGGTACCGATACACACTGATAAGATCCCCCTGAGCCTTCTCCTCCCCTCCCCAGCTGAGCAGTCCCAGGTCCCTCAGCCTTTCCTTCTATGAAAGATGCTCTGGTCCCTTTACCATCTTTCTGGCCCTTTTCTGGACTCTCTCCAGTATGTCCGTGTCTCCTGTACTGCAGCGCTCAGGACCAGACCCAACACTCCAAGTGTGGTGTCACCAGTGCCAAGTAGATGGGAAGGATCACCTCCCTTGACCTGCTAATGTAACATGTCCTACCTCTCCTTTTTCCAGCTCTCTCTACGAGACACAGGCCTGGTGTTTACTTATTTTTAACTTAAGACTCTATTAATATAGATCCAAACAGTATACTTCCCTTGAGAAGTCCTGTTCAGGACCTACATTCCTCACAGCACACAACTTGCATCCAGCAAAAGGTAGCATCTTGTATGCTTATTACTAACACAATATATTGTCAAATATAAATACCTGTACCAGTTGGTAAGTGTCATCATGATATACAGTGATGCCAGGAAAAGCATGAAATGAAAGAAGGAGTAACTGTAAGTAACTCCATCCCTCTCATTATCTATGGCTCGGTGAACACCATCTCCATCATCAAGGGAGCCGTCACTCCTGGGCATCCCATCCTCTATCAGTGTTGATTCATCACTGGTCAGCATCAGCTTGTTCACTTGGCTGTTGTTGGATGTCCGGATGCTGTATTTGACAGGAAAGGACACAGTACAGTTATCCCAATAAATACATTTAGTATCTGACAATGAGAAGTAATACCAGTTAATAGGGATTTTTTAAAAGGAATCTTACCTTGAATAGAGAACACACAGCAAAAACAAAACCAGTCCTACAATTCCTTGTGCATCCCACCACTGAACTACCTGACCCTGGGTGGGAATGGTGGTGCTGTTGTAACCAATGATGCTCAGCAAACTTGGGTTACAGCGCCTATCTGTGGAGAAGTTACATTAGAACTTACATAAAACAAGAACAGAACAAATATTTAATGGTACATTTCCACCCTGATTGCACGGTAATAGAAAGGAACTTTGTGACTGCGACAGCCCTGAAGTAAAAAAGCTTTGAGCCTAATTTTAGCCTATAGTCTCTCTAAAGCAGACAACTGACAGTATGTGGCATAAAAATCTGTCTTTTTGAGCAGATAAAGGATTTTAAACTTACGCAAGATACACATCAACTGCTCTACTGTTCTATCTCATATAATTAGATACAACAAAATAAAAATACTGTGTGTATTAAGCTTTAGAAATTTTACCCCTAGAAAACCAAGTTTGACAACCGTATAGTCTACAGATGGGGTACCCGCAGTGTTGGAA